TGTTTCTGTACTACTCGGTCTAAAACTAAAACCTGACATTTTCATATTTTTTTCCTCTAAAAGCTAAAAGTGATCACCCGGCATACAATGTCACTAAGCGTCACACTCAGTGACAGCGACATACTTTGAACATCGCTGTCATGAGTAGTGATGGGCTGCATGTTCGAATCGAGCATAGGTTCAACTCCAACATAGCCTGTTCTAGCGTTCGCTGAACGCCGAACAATGTGGGATGTTCGACCGCGGAACATCCCACAATGCACCGCGCCCTCCGAAACTGTAATTGGCTACAGTCGGTGCAAGACTGTGCCAATCAGGGCTCAGTACACATTTAGAGCCACGATTGGGCAAAGTCATGATGACTCTGCCCAATCATGTCTCACAGCTAAGTCCCTGCAGCACACTATATAAGGCTGCTGACACCGCGGCTCTGTGTAGTGTGTTGTAGGAGATAAAGAGAGTTCTAGTAGAGTTAGTGACAGCAGATTTATTGATATATATACATATATATATTAATATAATTACAATATAATATATATAATATAATACAGAATCTAAAGAGAGAGAGCTCCCATCTCTACATATACACACACACACACACACACACACACACACACACATATATATGTATATGTGTGTGTGTGTGTGTGTGTGTGTTTTCCATTGATACATGTTCCCCAGGGCAGTACCTGGATCCCCATACACTTTTTATGGCCAATAAATTGCACATAAGGCTTCAAAATGGAGACATTTTCTGAGTTCTACCCCCATAGACTTACATTGAGTTCTAAGTTCGAATTAGAACTTTTTCCATGTTCGAATTAGAACCGAACACTGGGGTGTTCGGCTCATCCCTACACAGGACACATGTTGTATGTTCCGTCCTTCTGCCCCACTATGCTCCTACCCTTTATTTGGCAATTCCTGGCAAAATAAAAGCTGGGAATTGCAATGTAAATGCAATGCAATGTAAATGTCGTCGTAGAAGCAAAAAAGGGCCATCTGACACGGTGTTTATAAACAAGACAAGTGCTAGAAATACAAAGTAACATTGCTACTTTTGTATCTACTCTGTTTAACTCAGAGATGAGCTTTGATCTGCATATAATGTTGTATAAATAAAATGTGTTTTTATTTAAAGACCTTTTTGACCCTTAGTTTTCCCTAGTCGGTCCTAATCAACTACTTCTTCCTCGAATATGATAGTGCTCAAACAGTATTTCACATTCAACAAAAGAACTTTATTTTTAAAAAGTACAAAATATAACATAAGTGTTACAAATCAGCCATTGTCAAACAACATATATTACACTTTGTAAATAGGCATTGGTAAAACACAAACAAAATAATTTTTGTCAATGCAAATGAGATAATACATCAATGAATGTAACTTTAACTATTAAGAGTCCAGTGTATAGCAGGGCATCCATTCAATTTTTTATATGGCAAGGTTGCATCAACATGTGCAATCCAGGGAGGTAAATCTGTTTGTTGTAGCATTGATCACAATTTGTTGTCATGCACTGAAGAGTGTTTCATGTAGAAAAACAGTGGTAAATTTATAGTTACATAGTTAGTCAGGTTGAAAAAAGACACCATTGAGTCAGGTTGAAAAGTCCATCGAGTCCAACCTATAGAGAGAAAAAAAAAAAAAGATGCCCACAATTACCAATGTTGATCCAGAGGAAGGCAAAAAAACCCCTATAAAGCATGGTTCAATTTGCTCCAACAGGGGAAAAAATTCCTTCCTGATCCCATAATGTAATCGGATATTCTCCGGATCAATGCTCTCTGATGCTTAATATACCTATAAGAACTCAATAACCAGTAATATTCTGTGCATTTAGGAATACATCCTGATGTTTTTTTAAACAATTAACCGAGCTAGCTAGAACAAGCTCCTGGGGGAGTCTGTTCCACATTTTCACAGCTCTAACTGTGAAGAATCCTTTCAGTATGCAAAGGTTAAACCTCTTTTCCTCCAGACGCAAAGTGTGCCCCCTTGTCCTTTGCAGTGACCTTAACATGAATAATTTGGCACCAAGTTCTTTATATGGACCATTTATATATTTATACATGGTGATCATGAATACATGGCCCCCAGGGCAGTACCCGGATCCCCATACACTTTTTACGGCAAATAAATTGGCCATAAAAAGGCTTCAAAATGGGGACATTTCATTTTCCACGGGGGTGTTCGGCTCATCCCTAGTCATGAGGGGGGTTAAAAATATATAATATATAAATGATTATTATTTTTAAAAATGATATAAATGATAGTATAAAAATATATTCAAATATATCATTTTAATTTGTTACATTTATTTATTTTTTACACTTTTTTATTGTATTATTTATTTAATTATATCAAGCAGTCATGGTGAATTGTTTTAATATGACTGCTCGATAAATGAATCAATTAGTTTTTGGTTATTATTAGGCTGCTTCAAACTTCAGGACAGCCAATAATAACCTTAATTAAGGTGCCCATACACCTTACGATTATCGTATGCGATCGACTTTTTGTACGACGATCGTAAGGTCTATGGGGAGTGTGCAACCGCCAGTACTGTACAATCGTAGAGACTTTAGTCTTTCCTGTATGTTCGAAAACTTCGGTCGATCGGACGATGTTCGCATGGTTGGTGGCGTTTCCGTACGTCAAAAGTCGTACGATGGACACTGCTCATGCGCAAACCAAAATACGTGCGGTCGAATACCGCAATTCGTCCAGGTGTTTTTTTTTAAACTATCGCTGATTGAACCTTGCGATCATCGGGGCAGGATGGGGCCGCCGTACGACAATCGTACGACGGTTGGATCATCGGACGAAAAGTTTCGTCCGATGATCGCAAGGTGTATGGCCACCTTTACACTGATCCTGCAGCATTTCAGGATCAGATGTCACTAAAGGTTTTCCGATCGTTCCACAACCATCAGAAAACTGAAACATTCTTTCAGAATTGAGACATTATGTTTCTAATCTTGAAAGTTAACAAAAAAAAAAAAAAAGCCGGTATACATGGGGGATTCCTCGATCTATAGCAGCTGTCAGAGTGACGGCAAGAGCTGCAAATGTGGCCCTGCTCTCACTCTCAGACACCCGATTCCTGAAGGGGATCGGGTGTCTGAAAAAGGTTAACTCTTTCATTAATGGAAGCCTCTATACTGACCCGTCCATTCATGATTCTCAGCCGTTACCAGCCTTGTAAAGCAGCAAATAACTCATCACGTACAGTGTACGTGAGCAGTCATTTGGGCACTTTGTGGCGGGAGATGCAGTGTACGTCTCCCGTCACAAAGGGGATAATGTGAAATTCCCCTCCATTGTTTTAGCTTAGGATAGAGTTGTCAAGGTTTAGACACCCTGGTAGGTGTTCACTGCTACTTCTGTTGCCACCTGGGAGAATCGCCCTCACTTCCTGTACTGTCACTGTGCACCATAAATTGTGCTCCAGATACATAAGGCACTATGGGGTATTTGTAGGATTAATTCCCTTCATCTACATTTATACATGGAAGATCGTTGGATTCATCTACCTGCCCCCCCTCCCCCCCTATGATCTTTCATTCACTGAGGTCCTTCTCACAAGGTGAGGTCCTGTGCTTTTGGGGGGTTTGGTGTCTGCACAAGATTCACAAACCATTTGAAGTGGAACTCAGAAGAAGAGTCTGCACAGGACTCAGTTTCCTTCATTGGTGGAGTTTTCTTGTTGGGTTTTTGTCTCTTATTTCCGTTCAGTTTATTCCAAGTCTAAGTTTGTTACACACATGTGCTCACATTTCCCTGTAACGGCATGCGCAGCTTTCACCTAATGCTGGCTGTTGGTTACATAGTTGCATGGTATATATCAGGAACAAGGAACACTCTTTTCTTTTTTATGGATTGGTACATTTTGATCCATTTGGGCGCCAGCAGCCATTAGTTGGGATTGGTGGTCGGAGGGTGGAAATTATTTCTTCAATTAGCATTATAAACGTCTGTTCAGCACAACAGGGAAGGCTTAGAGCCTCTGTCAGGTTTAATGGCTGTTTGTGTCCCTGCTGGAAGCCACAAGTGGAAGGGCGGCCAACCCATGCCTGTAGATTTCCCCAACGCAGCTCTGCTTACGGTGCAGCAAAGAGTGTTCCTCATGCTCTGCAATGCTCCTCACTGCCAGCACCCCAACCCTCCTCCGCACTGCCAGCACCCCAACCCTCCTCCGCACTGCCAGCACCCCAACCCTCCTCCGTACTGCAAGGGCCTTCACGCCCCTACTCACTGTTGGCACCACAACTCTCCTCTGCACTGCCAGCACCTCAACACCCCTCCTTACTGCCAGCACCCCAATGCCCCTACCTACTGCCAGCACCCCAGCCATCCTCCTTATTGCCAGCACCCCAAAACATTTCACTGCCAGCACTCCAACGCTCCTCCTCACTGCCAGCACCCCAACCCTCCTCCACACTGCAAACATCCTAACCCTCCTCCACACTGCCAGCACCCCAACCCTCCTCCGTACTGCAAACATCCTAACCCTCCTCCACACTGCCAGCACCCCAACCCTCCTCCGTACTGCAAGGGCCTTCACGCCCCTACTCACTGTTGGCACCCAAACTCTCCTCTGCACTGCCAGCACCTCAACACCCCTCCTTACTGCCAGCACCCCAATGCCCCTACCTACTGCCAGCACCCCAGCCATCCTCCTTATTGCCAGAACCCCAAAACATTTCACTGCCAGCACTCCAACGCTCCTCCTCACTGCCAGCACCCCAACCCTCCTACTCATCGCGAGCACCCCTACGATCCTTACTGCCAGCACCCCAGCCATCCTCCTCACTGGAAGCACCCCAACCCTCCTCCTCACTGGAAGCACCCCAACCCTCCTACTTACTGCCAGCAGTCCAGACCCGCTCCTCACCACCAGCAGCCCAACCCTCCTACTCTCCACCACCTCAATCCTCCTACTTACTGCCAGCACCCCAACACTCCTACTTACTGCCAGCACTCCAACCCTCCTCCTCACTTCCATCATCCCAACCCTCCTACTCTCCACCACCTCAATCCTCCTACTTACTGCCAGCACCCCAATCCTCCTGTGAAACAATAGAAGGTTTAACCCTCCCTTAATCCAAAACTAAAATAAAATGTTACAATAATATCTCAAAATAAAATAAAGTTTCCTTTTCCTGAGGTGAAATGTACCTTATGGTTTGCATTGCGGCACAGACATCCTGTACAGAAGCTGTCTTCGCAGCACATGGGGCCACTCATCATATTCTCTTCCATTTCCGGTTCAGGGGGCTCAGCCAGCTCCGTCTCCTCCGACAACAAATTTGGCGCTTCATCCGTCTCCATCTCCATATGGACCTGAACCGCCATTAGGGCCACTGCGGCCCCAATCAGGAGAATCCTCCTCAGCTCTTCCATTGTGTCCTCAGCAGATTGTCTCGTATCTCGATATAAAGTCTCATCAGCAGCTCCGCACACCAGACTCTCCTCGTCCACACCTACAACTCCCATCATTATCCCTGAGTCATCAACGATACGCAAACAAGTCATTTATTGTACGGGAAAAACTAGAAAAACCAGGAGAAAGGGCCAAATTCCCCGATCCTTTCACTGAACATTTGTAGAACTCTAATGAGTCAATGAGAAAATGTCACAATGTAAACAATGTGAATCTGAAAATGTAAATCACATGAAATATGGAAACAAATAGTAACAATAACTATAATGATAGAAATGAGAATGCGTGTCACTGGGGCAGGAAGTGAACGTCATTCCCCACAATGGGGACACAGGCTTCAGTAAAAACCTGATGGGGAGAAGGGGGGACAACCCTCGTCGTCTCCATCGAAAACTAAAAACATTAAAGTTTTGTCTGGAGTTCCTAATATACTGCTGGAGCTGTAGACGCTGCCAATGAGATTCCAAGCAGTGTTGTCAGCCCTGCTTGAGCTCTCCCCCGCTGGACTATATCACATCTCCGCCTCCACCCTATCGTCATAGTATAAGGGGTAGGAGGTCTGTAGTCCAGTAGGGGGCTGATAACACTGCTTGGGATTTCAGTGCAGCAGAGGCAGCGTTGTCAGCTCACACAGGAAGTTGGGGGGCTCACTGGATTAAGACGAGGTTTCTGGAAGGGTTCTGGAGGACTGACAATGAGATTTCCCCGTTGTGACCTCACTCCATTCTTTCCTCCATGAGTCTCTTATTATCACATCCAGGACATTCTCCCAGGTTATATAATAAGACAGAGAGCCGGGCAGAGCTGGGAAGAGTCGGGCAGAGCCAGACAGGGCAGAGCTGAGTAAAGCTGGAGAGAGCTAAACAGAGCCAGGCAAAGCCAGGCAGAGCCGAGCAGAGTGGGGCAGTGCTCGTCAGAGTTGGGTAGAGCCAGGCAAAGTAAGGCAGAGCTGGGCAGAGTAGGGCAGAGCCAGGCAGAGTGTGGTAGAGCCGGGCAGAGTGGGGCAGAGCCAGACAGGGCAGAGCTGAGCAAAGCTGGAGATAGTTGAACAGAGCCAGATAGAGCTGGAAAGAGCTGGGCAGAGCCAGACAGATTGGGGGCAGAGCTGGGCAGAGCCAGGCAAAGTGGGGCAGTGCTGGGCAAAGTGGGGCAGAGCCAGGCAGAGTGGGGGCACAGCCAGGCAGAGTGGGGGCAGAGCCAGACAGAGCTGGGCAGAGCCAGGCAAAGTGTTGCAGTGCTGGGCAGAGCGGGTGCGGGTGTCCGTACTCGTACGCTGACAGGATGGATCCTGTCTGCATCCGAGCCGGGACACCCGCACCCGTACGGACCTGCACTTGGGGTGAGCGTAGGGCGACGTATGTCCGCATACTCCCATAGAGAAGGACGAGGGCAGTGTAAAAATCACACGCATCACCTGTCCTTCCCGAGAGCTGCCCGATACGGCCGTGCAAGCTGGACAGGAAACTATATGTGCCGGCCGATTCTCATGTGAATGAGGCCTTACTGTGTACTACCTGTTCTAAAAATGTATCTGTTCAGCACAACAGGGAAGGCTTAGAGCCTCTGTCAGGTTTAATGGCTGTTTGTGTCCCTGCTGGGCTAGGTCTACATGGGCAGCAGACTTTACCACCCTCTGAAAAGCAATCTGCGGTGGACAGCCAGTTTACGGGCCCTGAGGGGGCCATACTACCACCTCCTCATGAAGGCCTGTTGTCTTTTTTTTATCTCAATGAAGATTTTGCATCTCAATAACGCAGTGCAGCCATGCGCCAAGTGGTTGGTATGCAGTGACATTTTAATTGACTGCACTGGTCGCATTTGGCAAGTGGCACCACTGGTCCAAGCAGTCACCATTTTAGGTGTTAGGTGGGCGAGTTTTTACCTCCCCTTTGCCACCCATGTGAATGATTCCTCGGTAGGGTCCCCCCAACCCCACTTCCTGCCCGGAAGATTGGCATCAGTTTGGACAGGAAGTGTAAGGAAAGCAGTGACACTGAGGGATATAAAAACCTAACAGGGATTCTAAAGCTGGCCATACACCAAAACCAATCATGTTATGTTTGGACCGGCTGTGATCCGGATGATGTTCTGTATCGGAAATTAAACTTCAATTCAGCCATCAGATCCGTCAGATTTGTGTCGCTGTCTGTGTCCTTTCCTCGGACTCTCCCTGAAGAATCTCAGAATTGCAGAAATCTCTCCCCCGGAGCCCCAGGCAGCTTTCACCTTGACGTACAATTTCATTCTTCTGGGATTCATTGATGGATTTTACGTCTTAGTCAGTCCATTGGTTTGCCTGAAAATGTTGCCATGGCGAGCACAGGGCGCCATTGGCAACAGGGGTGCCAGGCGGCCAACACTGCCGCAGCTTGGCAGAGAGAAGAAGAGCGGCACAGGCTCCAGCTGCTCCTCGGATCCCCGCTGCTCTCCCCCACCTGTATGGGGAGAGGCGCATGCGTGCCGCCATCCTGGAGGCGGGGCATATGATGTCACATACCGCACACATCTGTTGGGGGGGGGGCACAATTTTCTGTTCTTGCCTCGGGCACAAAAAGAGCTAGCTACGGCTCTGCCCTGACAAGCAGCTCGTCTCTGACTTTGCACAACCTCTCGGTCCTCCCGTGGAAGTTAACGAGCTGTGAGACATAAATCACTGAACAGCTTCCCTCCGTAACATGAACTCATTTCTAAAAAAGATCCTCAACCCAAATCCACACGACTTTCAGCTTCTTACCCTGTTTCTGGAGCAACATCTGCAGACTCCGCAGCATTCAACGGGACAGCATCTTCTTTGTCTGCTGTCGGCCGCATCCGGCAGGACCAGCGCAGAGATGGACGCCGCGGCTAACCCAACAAGCAGGAGAGTCCACAGCCGACTCATCGTCAGTTCAGATGGATGGAAAGATGATCAAACCACCAACTTTATATTCCTCAGTCACAACAAAGACTTCAAGGAGGTTTCATTCAGCCCCTGTCATTATGTAAATATGTTCTTGGATTTCGTGAGGCGTAAAGTTCTGTGAAAGCTAATAATAATCTTTGGAACTCCTCAGTAATAATTTCCCGGAAAGCAAACAGGATGTCAGCACAAGGGATGTGCTGGGACTTGTAGTGCATTTGTAGCCGAGGGATGAAGGAAGTGAGAACTGACCGAGAATATTTATCACAATTACGATTTGTATGATTGTGCCGGGAAGGGGAGCCAATGGGGCCTTGCTGGAGCCTCGTTACATCAATTATAGAGAGAATGTAGAGTGCTTCAGGTCTATTGGGTCTAAGTCAGGGCTCAAAATAGCCCGGCCTTAAGAGTTACTCGCCACCAGCTGCCCCACTTAACCCCTACCCCGGCCTTAACTCCGCCCCTAAACACACCCTCTTAAATGATCTTATGATAGTTGCTTGTAAATGGCAGATTAGGGATTCCTGCCGCAGGAAAACGCAAGTTCCTGACACCGGAATCCCTAATCGCACCTAAAATAATGGTGTGAATGATGCCTGATATATAGATACACTAATACACAATAATACACTCCCCAACGTCACCCACTCACCCCCCCACACACATAAAATAATACACTTATCCCCCGCACACATAAAAATATTACACTCCCCCCCCCGTCCCACCGGTGATCTAGGGGTGATTAGTGAGGTCTGCTGCAGACCTTACTAATACATGCTTTCTTTCGGCCGGAGCTCGGAACTGCCAGAGGTCCGGCCGAAGGAATCCGGAGCTGACAGGAGCACCTCTGCGGTCTGCATCCATGACCGTGTGCCTGACTAGTCAACAGGCTGCGGGCCACTTAGTACCGGCTTAGGGCCGGTACTTTGAGACCCCAATTTCCACTCGCCTTCACTGTACTTCCACCTGCCAAATGCGAGCAGGCGAGTGGAACTTTTGAGCCCTGGTCCAAGTGATCAGTTTGAAATAAATGATCTCATTGATAGGAGATGAAGTCATGGACTCCGGTAGACCCGACACCTGACAAAAATTAGATTCCTTTCGTTTCAGGTGTTTCCTCATTTCGTTTTTCGGGGATTCGGGTCTGAAAGTCAATTCGTTTCGGCATTTGGATTCGGAAGAATCCGACATTTTCGTTCATTTTTGATGAGTTAAATATTATCATTACGCTGCAGAAAAGTGACGAGAAATGTTTACTTTTGAACTTTTGACACTACAGAAACAATAGAAAAACACCCCAAAAAACAGCGTGCAATTCCTACCAGGCCCCTTAGGACTGCTAGGAATTTTATGGGGGACCCCCTAAGATTCCAAACCAGACCCTTGATCTGAGCAGCAGTCTGGCAGATCAGGAAAGGGGAGGTGGGCGAGCCCCTCCTGCCCCATACCAGGCCACATGTCCTCGACATGGGGAGCGGGTGCTTTGCCTGGGGGGACCCCCTGGAAAAAGCACTTTGTCGCCATGATGATGAGAACAAGGGATTCTTCCCCTCAGCCCTGGACCGGTGGTTGTGGGGGTCTGCAGGCAGGGGGGCCTATAGGAATCTCAGTGCCCCCTTTCACACAGGGTGAACCCAGATACCGCCCCCCTCCTTATGAATGAGTAAGGGGTAGTTGTTACCCCTACTCATCCACCAAATACAGCAAAATAGTAAATAAACACCCCACACTGTAGAAAAAG